GCCCTTGTTAATCTGCTTCAACTACTTCGATGTAGTTTGAATTTACTTAGTTTGATATAATAATAGTTCCATTTCCATAACATTTTCCATCCGTGTTGTTTGAAATTATTAATATTTAATTAAAAGCCCATTATTATATGACGTAAAATATGGAAACAATAACAAAATGTACCAAGTAAAACTAGAACTATTACTGTTATAAATCACAACGGTTCCTTATGGAAGATCCCATTTTATTTTGTAAGTAAGGGATGCACTTGAAATATGTAAACATACAACAAGCATAATGGCATGGATAGTGACGAATTAAGTTCAACTTGACAACTTAAACAATTCTATGGATCAACACTACCATATTATAGTAAGCTTTATTGGATATTTTCGTTTAGAGATAACCTCATCAAAGATTTAATTTCAATATAACGTTTTATTATTAATATCCATTCCTCATTAGATTTAAATTTTTACGAGCGCTCTCCTATATAGTTATATGATTTTTACATCTAAGTATAAATACTATGAAGCATAAAAATTAAATATTTTATTCCGTGGAACATTAAATTTTGATTTTCAAATTTTATCGAGAAATAATGTGCTTTTATAATTTGCGATTAATTTTCTGTAGTTAAATAAATATACATATGGATTTTACATAGAAACAATAAGGCTACTCATTTTTTTATAATTAGAATGAAATGAACTGAAGAAATTAGTTAAAACATTGATATATTGATACATTAATATATTTTAGTTCATTATTTTGTTAAAAAATATTTCGAAAGAGCATAATATGTCGTACATTTATATACACTACATAGTGATGCTCAAAGCCTGTGTGAAATTTTCGGGAAGCTGAAAACAGTATTATAATTATGTTATAATGTTCATAATTGAATATCATATTCAGCGGCGGATCTATTATTTTTTCACGGTTGATGCTATTTTGATAACAAAGATCTTTAATTTACGATTTCGGGGCAAAAAAACAAACTAATAATTTAAAATTTAAATATCCCGGAAAATCAAGTTTTTGTTTACTCTCTGGAAGGATTTGAGCTTGATAGCGCTCCGTGAAATATAAGGTCTTGCATTTCTAACAATTTTCAAATATACTATTTAAAAATACATTTGGAGTGTAAAACTCAAAGTTTAAATTAGGTTAAATTATCATTTTAACAAATTTCTTTCCCAATTTTGCAGGCTTAGTACTGACAATTTTCTGTGCTACGTAGTTCTTGTCTAATTATTTTATTCGATCTCGTAAAGAAGTCGTTTTCACATTTTTTTTTTTATTCTGCAATTTATTATTTGTTTACTAACTATGTTTTCTAAAATTATGTGATGATGGTGTTCATTGAGTACGCTAAGATCTTTTGTCACATTATTGTCAAAATAAACACTCGATGGAAAATTGATAATCCAACTTAACTTAAACTTTGAATTTTACATATTGACCGTATTTTTAAATAGTATATTAAATAGTATAATTGTTAGAAAGGCAAGACCTTATATTCACGGAGTACTGTTGAGCTACTTCATTGGGCGCAATCATGTTTCGTTTTTTGCATATAAAAAGGTAAAACCGGGTGCTATCGAGCTAATTAGCTGGGCGCAATCGTGTTGTGTTTTTTTCATGTAAAAAGATAGGACAGGTGCAATCGTATTTCACCGATAAATATTTAATAAAAAATATTAATGTTACTTTTTTAAAATATTTGTTTTTTAATAACATATAAGATGTAAAATAATGAATCTACATCATTAAACAATTTAAAAATTTTAAACAATAGAAATATACTCACAACAGACATATGTAATGGTATCTAAAAATTATAGATATTTTTTATATTATTTTTTAACATGTTATAGCAATATAAATTACACGATTAATTTAGATAAACCTGTTAATTGCACTCTTCTTTTTTTTTCTCGTAAACTCATTGACAACTACGTTTATATCTGAAAATCTATGTTCATAAACATTTAAACATTGTTAAATCGTTTAGTTTAGTTTAGATTCAGTCATTGTAGATCGCATATAGTTGTTTAACCCATCTTAGGTCGAAGATGATCTTTCAATGGTTGTATTAGATACTTGAAGCATAGCAAATATTTGTAAGAAAATTTTTATATTTGAGAAAAATTGTTTATTTATTATTTAATTAATTATTACATTATACAGTATACATAGTGGTCCTATCTGAAATCTAAATAATTTATAATACCACCCCTCCCTAAATTCGCTATAAATCGTATTTAGACCATATGTGGTTAATAGTAATAATTTCTAATCTAATAAATAATTCACTAAATACTATAATTTATTTAACTGCATTATAATATTAACTACTTGCTTCGCATATTTTACTTAACAAATTATAAATCTAGAATTGAAAGAAGCAATGCAAATGAATCATCATAAGTCCAAGATATTGCACTTAAAATGTAGTCACATGTGGTCGATGGAATTAGTTTTAAAAATGATTTATTTTCCCGCTTTAGAAGATATATTTCCTCATTTAAACTTTATAGTATTTGTGTAACTCGTATATCTAATGAGTAATTTGTTATTATCAAGCAGTAAAACTTTCTTAGTATCTCTTGTTATGTTATAACTGTTTATTAAATTATAGAAGACTTTTAAATCAGTTTTCGAAGATTAATTAACACATGTTTTATTATAAATTTAATTGTTCATTGTGTTTAGTTATTTTTTAAATACCCTATATTTATTCAAAAGTAATTATATTTATATTTTCAATCTCATAATTTTAGATTTATTATTTTGTCATTTTAAAGGAAATACAGTTCACTTGATTAAGGATTTAAAAATATTTATAAAATAATTTTTATTATAAGTATTATACATTTTATGTGTCATTATTATTCAGATTTAATTAAAATACATAAAAATATAACGCATTTTTTTTAAGTTTTAAGTAATTTGGATTAGTATTTAAATTGAAAGAATATTTTCGATTCATTTTCAATTTTCTCGCTAACAAAAAATTTCTCTCTAAGAATTTTTGTAGTTACTACATTTCGTTATCTGTATATTTTATCTACAATTTTGTACATAGTTTCTGATTTATTATAATAATATTGTATATATATTATATTATATATATATTATAATATACATAATATACATATTAATGTAAATTAATATTTTAGCTAACTTATAAGAAATATTTTATTATAATATTATTTTTATCGACAGTTAATAATAATAGCATTATATAGTTCAATGATATTTTTGTAAGTATACTACTATATCTAGTATTGCATTTTAAATTTAAAAAATCAAAAGTATTTACTTCTTATTAGAAATTTTAGCTACCCACGTATATAAATATCATAGAAGAATATCATATGTATAAATACCATAAAAGTTATGATTTACGCGTAAAACTAAATTTAGTTTCAAATGGATAACAGATTCCTAGATTTTAGCTGAAGCTGGGTTTGAACGATGCTCCTTCTTTAAACGCGTGGCATTATTCAAAGAACGCAGCTGAATATGGGTGGCGTTGGTTCAACTCGGGCAGATTTCGTTGCTCCCCGCCGGACTACCGACCTCCGTATTTAAAAATCCCCGAAGGGAATCCCTGGTGGACAGTCCTCACCCGGTAAATATCCGACGATATCGTAAACTCCGTCGAATCCAGCCGCAGTCCGTGAGTGGACTCAACGTGACGACTACCGCGTAGGACACACGATAACCTGGGCTGATTACGCTTCCCGACGTACCAATCGTAGATTTACCATTAGTTATTGGTAGCATATAACTCGCCGCCGGGACGTTATCCCGGCCGCTACCGACTTAATACAGGGCTAAGTAACTGACACCATCACGACTCGATCAAACACCCAGATCGCAATTGGCCCCAGGATGAGGCGATGTTTGACCGAGACTGACGTGAGACGTGCAGGCCGTCACCCGGGGGATGAAGAACGAACCCCCCAAAAGACGGGTCGGTGGTCCGTCGCCCGACCAGCCACCGATTCGTGAGACTCTTGATACGGTTTCGGTGTAAATTATGGTCACGGTCTGTCTCCGCGGCTCAAATCATAGATCACATTTTATGCAAACGCATAGATGGAAGCCGCCACTCCGCAAAATGTCGAGTTCATACGCGCAAGTTCACTGTTTGGGCAGGCATGTTCTGAATTATTCCACCTGAATTATTATACTAACCCTACGAAAAGGGAGTGTTTAAATACCGGTATCCACAATCTGCGAACTCGAGCTAGTGGCGAAAAACAACGCCCCGAAACCCCGTCCCGTTTCCGGAACGTGTTTTCGCTAGCTTTCAAATGCATAACAATAACATTTATTTTGTAATATTTTGAATATTATTTAGATTTAATTAAAAAAAAAAAAAAAAAATACAAAAATAATAAACTTCGGTTTTGTTTAATTACGATATAATTTCAAGATACTTCCTGTTTTATGCATATGAAGAACATATCGATATTAAAAGTATAAATAATTTTAATATCTTAACTTAACGACATAGGTATCAATACTTTAACAGATATTTTTGGTGTAAAATGATTATTAAATGGTTGAATTACCATTAGAATAATTATATTATTTATTTTAACATTGAGAACTGTGAATTTTATTGTGTTTATGATTGTATGTTTTTAGAAAAAAACTTTTTGATATAAAGGATCAATCAAAGAATTTCTAATCGTTACTAGTAGAATTATCAATAAATTAGAAATAAAGCACAGATTTTAATACATTTTATAGAGTCATTTCTTTGTTTTCTATTAGTAAGAAGAAACTTTATTTTGTTTTGTTTTATTTGCGTAAAATATTTACTAATTTTTGGATGCAATATTTGTTTGAAAATTTTAAATAATTGAGAATCTCACTAAAAAGAATCTATTGAGTTTCATTTTGTATAAAAAATTATACAATTGGAAATATTAAAAAAAAATTAATTTAATATTAAAATATATGCTGAAAATAAAAATAAAATTTGTTTCAGGTGGAGTATTGTTCAATCATAATTATCAACGAAAATTGCGTTTGGGTTTCACAAATTCTATGCAGAAAATTAAGTTTGATTTGAATTTTATTTCATTCTTAACAAAATGGTAAAATATTACAGGTAATAATTTATTTTGTAATCTATAAATTGAATCTTAGAATAATGTAATTTCTGATTAAAATGAATTAAAAATTTTTTTTTTTATGATGAAAGAGTATAAGAAAATTCTGTGTTCGTTAATTTTAAGCTCCCATTAAGTATTATTTTTGCCAAAAGTATCTAGAAAAGTAGGATTATAATTGGTTTGAATAAAAAAACAGATATAAATTATTTGATTTGACGTAGAAATAGTTTATTATGTACTATTATATTAACGCACGTTATAATATTTTCGTACTTTAAAATAAAGAAAAAACACTACTCTGTGTAAACATATGATCGTAAATTTAAATGTGTAATGTAACTATCTTTTTAAAATATTGTTGAGATGTAAAACAACAACAATATATAATATGAATGTGTTGTTTTATACACTTTACGACATGACTGCCGTGTATATGACCTTAACATAACATGTAGGTTAGTTGTGTTAAAAGTGTGATTAACCACACAGCAATTCAAAAGGACCTAAGGGCTACATTGATATGGATTTCACGCCGTAATTTCGTATAATGTTAAAATGTATAGGATAAAATAGGATCGTGTATAATAAATACATAATAATAAAATGTAATACAACTGTATTGATGTAGACATTGTTTGGATATTTTAATAAATACATTTAATTCAAATTTGTAGCAGAAAAGAACCGTTTTGATACGTTTTAACGTAAAAATTAGATGCATTATTATTATAATTATAATAGTAAATGGATGTCCAAAGGAATTGACAAATGTCCTGTTAATGATATTGTAACTAACATGTAAAATGTAAAACTAATTACCAAGTATAATAACATACTGAAAAACATATGGGTAATAATTAAATCACGGATTTTAAAGCAAAATAAAAAACAAAAAAATCATAAAATTATTTGAATAAAGCAAAAAATATAGCGTATTTATTTATATAAAAAGTAAAAAAAAAAAAAAACTTGTAATTAATTTAAATTAGGTAAAAATTTAAAAAATAAATTAAAAATATCCATGATAATCAATATTTGATGAAACATGTTATTAATGTTTTGTAATTGTTTTCAGCCTTTGTTTTTTGAAAAAAAAAAGTTTTAATTTCTCGAAATTTTCAGTATTTGAAATGATTGATATTATAGATGATATATAAAATTAAGAATCGTATTTTTACATTTATTTTTAACAAAATTAATTTTTAATATTATAGGATAATGAATATATTTAAATTACATAGCCGGAATTATTACAAAAATGCAATAAAAAAGCATTTAGATAAAAAAAAGCTAAAAAAAAAATTGGTTTATTTAGAATCAAAATGACATAAAACGAATTATTCGTAAAAAATAGATTCCGAACTTTAATAATAATGTATAATTTTTGTCGGAGACCTCATATGATTGCAGTCAGACAGATATCCAAATAGTATAGTATGATAATAATAAAAATAAAATATTACTAGAATTGCTTAACATCAAGTCATGGGTTTTACTATTCATACCACGAACACGTTTATACCACGCATTCATAACGAATGTACCACAAAATAACACGTAGATAGAAATATATTAAATTAGAATTTTAGAGTTTATGAAAACGTGTTAATTTCCATACGTGATTACGTAGTAGTATCATATGACAGAAAGCCTATACTGCGTTTTGCGTAACGGAAGTGAACTCCGACCGAGTTCATTACCGTAAAATCTAGATTAAAGGATTTATTAGGAGTCAAAGTTTCTACGGAAATAGGAGATGTATTTGGGATGCTCAGAATTTTGCATTAGACACGTATTCAAGAAGTCCATAAGGTCTAGAACTAGATTCGCCAACATTCGCCAATGAGTGAGCTATTTTTAAAGTTCTAAACTTGCGGCAATCGACATCTATTTATCTATATAAGTATTCATCAAAAAAAAAAATTTAAAAAACTACAATGCATTATTAAATTTTACTATAGTTAAAATAACATCAGATTTTTTCATTTATAATGGTATAATTTATTTTTGTTAAGATTGGCCTACATTCCTTTTGAGAACGACTAGTCAATCGCTATCGACGGGTTGGAGATTTTTGGTCTAGACCATGATATAATAATTGTATCATGGTCTAGACTACCTCTTTTTTTGACATTTTTCCATACCTACTTATAAATATTAATCCTTTATAATTAAAATAGAAATATATGTATTTTAATTTGAAAAGTTATAGAGTACAAGTATAAAAATTTACTTTTATATTAAATATATGAAAATTGTATTAAGCATTATTTATTAGTGTAAAATATTTTAATTTTGATTCATAGAGAGAATATAATTGATTTTATTTAAGTGTGTAATTACTATCGAATCTGTTTCATATAAACGCGGGTTAGATCATACGATTCGGCACAATTTTATGTTTAACCGATAATATTACTTGTATATTGTGGAATTATATCGATTTGTATTACGCCCGTCTTGGGTATCGATTATTTCTCGTGACATCGTTACCGCATTATAATATAGTTGTTCATCTTGTATAAACTCAATGCGTTACAATACAATATAATAATATTGACTTGCAAATCAATCAACGCCGATTCAATTCCCCATACGCACGGAATGTTGGCGTAGCGTAAAGTAAACTATTCTATATAAACCATACGCGGGTGCGACGATGATACAGACGGTAGTAAGAAATCGCTTAATTTAAAAATAAAAATACTAATAGAAATACGAGTACTAGTTTAAATAATCTTAAAATTGTTATTACACTCATACGAGCATGTATACAGTGGACAACAATTTGTGAAAGTTGGAAAAATTTTATTTCAATCATATTTTTTTAAAATATATAGTTTATATTTAATATGAAAAAAAAATTAACTTTTTAATTGCAAATAACTACTTAACACATAACATTTGATTTTAATTTTTCGTGTACGCAAAGTTTTGAATCTTTAATTATTTTATTCGGATGTAGAAAAATCGTTTGCGTCATAATTAGAAGACATTTCCGTTTCATAATCATTTACAACATTAAAGTTGAGCAAATTTTGAGATTCTTATCACAGTGTTTTTTTCTTATTTAAGATTTTCACTACTATAACAATTATATTTTGTCAAAAGTCTTAGTTCATTGCAATTATTTTCAAAATTATTATTTATTTTATCAAAAATATGTTTAATTGTATGAACAAGCAATGCTTGTAATTTTGTTTTTGCACTTGTGTCACTCAATAATATACCGTTTTCCTTGAATAACACTTCTTATTAGCTTCCCGAAATAAATTATAAGTAGGATATGAATAAAAAAACTTTTTTTAGCGAAAATGTTTAGTTAGTTTTTTAAGTTTATATAAGTTTTTTTATAAGTTTTTTTTTTTTTTATTAGTTTAGCATTGATAAGTAAAACCAATACTTTATCATTATTATATTTTCCAACTATAAGTATGGCTTTTTTATAACTATAGACCATTTTTGAAGAATGAGTTGGAGTAGTAGGTTCGATTTCTTTAAAAGTTATTAAATGCTGCATAATTTTGATCTGAATGCCTAAGACTGAATTGAATAGCAAAAGTAAGCTCTTCCGAATCTATTAATTTTCTCAAATCTACAGTTCTTTTACCTTTTGATTTATTATCATGTTCTTCAAATATTTTAGTTAGTTAACCTAATCTCTATTTGGTGTCTTTTACTTCACTAAACGACTGTTCATTCAAATATTTGATTTAACTATTCGCTTTTTTTATTTTCAAAACTATATGTATATTTGTTATATTATTTTTATTTAAAAGACATATTATTAAAAATAATTTTGACCTGATTAAGTAAATTATGTTTTTATTAAGTAATTTTCTAAATCAATCGAAATATTTTCAGTATTTTAAATTTTTGATATAAATTATATTTAATAAGTTGATTTACATAATAAATATTTTTTGGAGCACCTTGATATGATATACAGTTTACGCCTCTTGATGACCCGATTTATATTATATTAGATAAACGAGACAAAAATGTATTAATTAAAATAAAACAATAAAAATGAGCGCAATTCAAACATTTGCCATAACGTTATATTGAACAATTAAAATACTTATTTCAATGAATTGAAACACTAGTTAGGAACCAAATTTATTATAAAGTCTAATAAAGTGTACTTTTATAGGTAATTACTTATATATGTCGCATCCAAATAATGAAATCACTCATTTCATGAACTGGATATCCAGATAGTGAAATTCGTCCAGATCATGAATTTTGACGAAAATACATTATATGGACATCCATTTCATGAAACTGACAATACTTATATTGTGTAATTTGTGTAATTACTATAAAATCAGATATCATAGTATTAAAACTATTTTTCTATATTGTTCTATGAACAAGAATATAATAATAATTATAGTCATAATAAATTATATCATATTACAATATATATTTATTTTATTTTTTATAAACAACAGTGTTACCTACGAAGTATTATGAAATATTCACAATACTTTATAACTATACTTATATATATACATATTTCTTCTTTATTATTTATTTTTATACGATAATTGATTATGGCTGCGATTGTTACATATGTTTTTAATACAAGTACACCTACTTGATTGGCAAGAAGTTTTTGTTTTACACGAACAAGACAAAAATCCTTACCTTCCTAAATTTTTTTTAATCATTTCTCGCACCGAAAATTCAACTTTTTATCAACTTGGCCAGTAGTGAGAAATTGAGTTGTTGATTTTTTCAAACATTCAATATTGAACCACCCTTTAATTAAACCATATTTTTTTCCCATTTTATGTAATCCTTTTCTTTTTTATTCCGTGATCACACAAATTAGGTTTATAAATATCTAATTTGAAAAAAAAATATTTTAAATTTAAATTATATAAAATGTACTATATTTAAGGCTAAAATTAAAAAAAATATATATCATAATGTTATAATATTAATATGAATTTTGACAAAATCATCTTTAATAGTTCCGAATAATTAACTA